CTATTATTTCATTTCAGGTTTATTTTGGTTAATATAATTGTTATTTTCAGCTATTCATTTTTAATTTTTCTTTTTTAGTTGTTTCAGGAATTTCAAATCATTTTATATAGTAGACAATGGAAGTCCGAACTAGTGAAATTCATCATGAAACATTGTCAATCACCTTTAAACAAACGAAATATTTATTATTGGTAGGTATCTATAATTTAGGATCTTCAGTAATATATTGCAATAACTAGCTAATATTCTTGAGCTTACTAGTATATTAAAGCCACATTAAAATTTTTTCATGTATACTTCAACAACATATTTTTTATGAATATTTCAATCTTCTAATAGGGACTTCCAAACTTTGACAATTCATAACGGTCATCTTGATGAAGCTACATTTGTCAATTTTGTTGTCATTTATTCAGTCTGTTTTGCCAAATCACCATAAGAGGATATAGCATGTATCAACATTTGCAAATGAATAAATTGTTTGATCAAAATGGGTGTTCCGTTCGAGCAACGTACCCGTGCGTTTCGCCCATTTTACGGTCGCCTTAATCGTCCTATCATGAGGTCTATTCGCAATGTGTGGTGGATAAATTTGAGTCCACTGGTTCAGTAAACGAACAAACATTACCGGTACGTTAACGAAATGCAACATCTTCCGAGAACATCGCAGCTGTCTGTGAAAATGTGCAAGAGAATCCAAAGCAGTCAATTTTGCCGCCATTCGCAGACCACAACTTGGTGAATTTTGAGGCGTGTCTTTGGCCTGCAGGAACTGAAGGTAAACGACTAATGATAACGACGTTTGTTCGCTCTCGAGCAGTCAGCAACTGACCCTAATTTTCATTCAAAAATCAAGTTTAGCTATGAGGCCCATTTCTGGATGAATGTGTACGTGAACAAACCAAATTGTCGAATTTGGGACGACACTAAGTTACACGAGAGCCGAGAGCGTCCAACGCATCCCAAAAAAGTCACCTGTCGATGTTCGCTTTCTGCGTCATCGATCCATATTTTTTTGGAAACGACGTTAGCCAGGCCATCACTGTCAACAGCGAGCACTATAGGTCGATGATTAACAACTCCGTTTGGCCTGAATTGAATGGTCTGGACATCAACGAGATGTGGTTTCAACAGGACGGCGCTACGTGCTACACAGCTTATGCCACATTGGACATTCTGTACGTGAGGGTGATGTGAACTGGCCACAGAGATCGTGCGATTTGACCCGGTTAGATTTTGTTGTGTGTTTTTTCAAGTCGCAGGTGTATGCGAATGAGCCACAAACCACAGCGTTCCTCAAAGCTACATTACCCATAACATCGATCAAATTCAGCCTGATTCACGCACCAGAGTCATGGACAAATTGGACGTTTGAAAGGACATTTGAACTTTGATAAATTTCACACATAATGACATAAATAGGTCATTGAAACAAATAAAAAATTTCGATGTTTTCTCACACACAACTTGTTCTATTTGAATTCAAAAATAAGAAATTTGACATCACCAAGATCAGACAAGGTATACTCTCAATGTTATGTAAAATTTTATTGATCCAATAGTACCAGTTTCTATAAATATTTCATATTGTTTTCAGAGTTACTGATAATAATGTTATATTGAACACTTTTGTAACATATTTCAGTTTTTATCGACCAAATGTGATACCGTCAGAGGCAACATAGAATATAACTATTACCGAAGTCATAATTTGAGATAAATTTTTGGATTCTCAATTTCTGTATTTGATGAAAATAAATGTTCATTTAATGATTGAACATCTAGTCCCGTGATGGCTCACACTTTTTTTGTCCCACCACATCTTTCCAAATGTATATCTTTCGGTAAGCCTGTTTTTTCTTCCCAGCTGAAGTTCAATTGCTTTCCACAAATTGTGTCTGCCTATCATCAGATACATCTTTGATCCCGTTGGTTCCCTTCATTTTGACAATGGTCGGTGTTTCTTCTTTGAAGTAAAATGAATATAACGTTCTTCTGTGTTACGTCACAGTCGTTTGAGTGAGTTCATGTGAGTGTTTTTATGAAAATGAACAAATTCGAGTATCGAGCTGTCATTACGTAGTTGTTGTTGAAAGGCAATACGCCTACGCAAATTGAAGATGAGTTGTATTCTGTGTATGGGGACTCTACACCATCATTTTCCATAGTGAAATTTTGAGCAGCTGAATTTGAACGTGGCCGTAAAAGCTTGGGAGATGATGAACGTTCGGGACGCCCGAAAACTGCAAGTACCGACGAAAACATCACCAAAGTTCACCAAATGATGAAAGGCGACCGCCGAATTGAAGTGAGAGAGATAGCAGAGGTTATGAACATATCACATGAATGTGTTTGTCACGTATTGAATCAACATTCAGGCATGAGAAAGCTGTCCGCGCGTTACGTGCCACGTTTGCTCACGTTAGATCAAAAATATGTTCGAATGATCATTTCCAACGCTTTGTTTGCGCAGTTTAGGTGCGATAAATCCGAGATTTGGCACCTAATAATTACCGTAGATGAAACTTCAATACACCATTATACGCTCGAAACAAAAATACAGTCCAAACATCGAACTGCAAAGGGGACACCGGCTTCAAAAAAGCAAGAACTATTTTTTCGGCTGAGAAAGTGATCGCGACTGTTTAGTCATGAAATTACGAATCATCACTTGACAAACTGAAGGCAGAATTTGCAGAATAACGGCTACATTTGCAGAAAAAAATGTTATTTAACCAAGACAACGCACCATCTCACATCTCAGAGTTTGCCATGGCGAAAATCGACAAACTACGCTTTAAACTGCTTGACCATCCGCCTTACTCACCATATCTAGCCCCAAGCGACTTCTTTCTTTTCCCTCATCCGAAAATTGCGCTCGAAGGACGAATTATTTTGTCAAATGAAGAGGCAATCACTTTCGTGAACAATTATTTTGAAGAGAAATACGCCGAGTAACATCTGGACAAGTGACAGAGATGGAAGCATCGCTGGGAGAAGTGAGTAGAGTGAAAAGGAGATTATGTTGAAGAGTGGAAAAATTAAAAAAATTACTTGTATCTTTTTTAGGTCGGGACCTTTTCAGACCACCCCCGTATAACACACCAGGTGTCTGCCGTGAGGAACCTGAGACTCTAATGCACTTCCTGTCGGTTTGTCTAGTGTATTGTTTGACTTAACTATCTTCGGCACTTCTACGGTATTCACGAGACATTGATGATCCTTACGCTCCGATAGATATTGAATCCGTTGTGGGGAATGACAAGTACCTTCAGGCCTGATGTAGTTCTTCCCGACTGTCAGAGTGGGAAGATATTTGTTATAGAGTTTTTAGCTCCTGGTGAGACGAATATCGTCCAAAAATAGAAGAAGAAACGGATGAAAAATGGAGATTACCTCTTCGATCTCCGAAGATTTTATCTAGAT